CCTGGGTAGAGTGCCGTGGCATCCCAGCTCACAACAACCTCCAACTCCTGGGCTCAAGCGAGTCTCCTGCCTGCGCCTCCCAAGTAACTCAGATAACAGGCATCCGCCACAGTGCCCAGCTATTTTTTGGTTGCAGCCATCATTGTTGTTTGGCAAGCCCAGGCTGGATTTGAACCTGCCAGCTCAGGTGTATGTGGCTGGCGCCTTAGCAGCTTGAGCCACAGGCACCAAGCCTTGTTTCTACTTTTAGTAGAGATAGGATCTCACTCTTCCTGAGATTTCAAACTCCTGAGATCAAGGGATCCTCCCGCCTGGGCCTTCCAGAGTGCTAGGATTACAGGAGTGAGCCACTGTGTCTGGCTCTCTACCCATCCTTAAAACCCATCTCATTGTAAATGCTGCATCGGCAATGGTGGGGTGATTCAAACCAGGACCACAATATCAGGCCAGACCACAGTCTGAACATGGAAACAGAGCCAGAGGTAGAAGTGTACAGCAACAAGGACAGAAAGCCAAGGGAAGTAGTCTGAGGCGGTATACACCTGCAGGAGAACGAGGTGTATGGAAGCAGGTTGCACAGGGGTCATAGCCAGGAGGCTGCTACCCATTCTAGCTCCTCAGTTGGATGCCACCGTTTTACACAGAAGGAGCCGTTTCCAGTTCCAAACTGCTTTCATACCCACTAACTTTTTGAGTCTTCAAACCCAGTCTGCATGAGCTAAGTAGAGAAATACCATCATCTCCATTTGATTCACAGGCAGAGAAAAGGCCAGAGAGGCGAAGTAATCTGTGTCACACGACTGAATGTCTTTCAGCAGTGTGCTAGAGAAAAGAAAATTTGGAGTCCGGTAGTGTGGGTTTAACGCAAGCAAGCTCTTTGATTTCTGTGCAGCTCTAGTTTTTATTTTTTGTCGCTACCAACTATCATAGCATTTGTCAAGCACCTCTTACAGTCTGTGGCATACAACAAGTGCTCAATTAATAGTCCCTTCCTTTCTTCCTTCATTACCTGTTTTAACATCTCTGAAATCTGTGCTGTTTACACTAGCCCATTGCTTCCTTTCAATGGCTAATGTAATTTTGAATACTCGACTCACCTCTCTAGAAATAGGATTCTTTGTCTATTTTATAAAGGGTCAGGCCAAATTTGTTCTATGGTCTCTTCCAGCGCTGACAACCGAGGCCTTATGAAAATAGCCACCAGTCTAGGGAACAGAGCGGCACGGCCCAGCCCAGGGCTGCTGTGTCTCACATTGTCACCAGGGGGCGCCCGGCACCACTTGCACCTCAGGGGCAGCAAATGCCTTGGCCGTGAAGCTCCGCCGAGGACTTCTCCCAGCTTTAGGGGAGCCATCCCTATCCCCTCCTTCCCCTTTTACAGTCAAGAAGGGAGAGAAAAAGTTCATTTTCTATTTATTTTGTAGATGAGGGAGCTGAGAAAAGCCATTTGATTTCCCTTGATCTCATCATAACAGGACGAGCAATGCAAGATGCCTTCTCGAGTTTCTACTCAGTCAACCGAGCTGCACTCTACGCTTCAGCTGCGGTTTTTTATGGTAACAGCACTCCCCGCAGCGGGCTGCCCCGTCTACCGCTGGAAGACACCGAACCCGGACATACGGTCACCAAGAGGCCTGAGAAGGGTCTGGATCTTTGGCTTTTAGGACAGAAACAGAAAGTAAGCCTATTTCTATAGCCTTCTCCGGCCCACTAACCCCGACCCCCCACCCACGAGGAGGGTAGCTGAAAGCATGATTTGAGCTGAAGATGCCCCCGCCCAACAGAAGCTGAGGAATGAAGCGGTGTGGAATGGAAAGCCCAGGATTCACCTCCATTCCCCAGCAGAGTCGACCTTGGGAATCGTCCCAGGAAGGTCCAGCCACCTCCTCCTTAGCCTAACCACTCGATGCAGAGGGTGGATCGCCTGTGAAAAACCCACTCGCCGTCTCTCTCCTCCAGCTCAGCTCCCTTTTCCCTGTCACATCTGCCACACATCCAGCTCCCACTAGTAGACTCTGGGGCGGTCAGGCCTCAGCAGCTCAGTGAGTCTCACTGGTCTGTAAGTCTTCACTGCGGCTGGGTCTGAGATGGTTGTTTGTCTTCTGCAGTTGGAGTGCTCAGGCGGACTGCTAGCAAAAGCAGCCTGCTCCCTTCCAAGGATGTAAATCTACCTCAGTGTGACACCTGGCCACAAGCTGCTGGAGAAACGACCAGAGGGACTGCCTCTCAGTCTGCCAGAGGCACTGGTGACAAGCTGCAGATGGACTCCACGGCCCCAGCACAAGTCTAAACATTCCCAAGGAGTCTGACAGCTGGCACACGGGTGCGTGTCAACCAAGACCCAAGCAGTATGAGCTCTGGACAGTGTTCAAAGACAACTCCACAAACTGGAGGACTTGCTGGCCAGCTTTGCTCAGTGATATGGGGAAAATATCCAGAGATGGGGAGACAAGGCTCTCTTGTTTATCAGGTAAGAATTTCTCCCTCCACTAAGAGCCACAGTTCAAAAATTGAGTCCTTACCAAGACAACTTCCACACCTCAGACACTGGAGATCTCATGCTGCTCAGGCTTGAAAAAGAGAAAGGCATCTTTGGTATGCAAACATCCTAAGAAATAAAATCTGGAGTCCTGGAGAAAAGAGTGAACATAGATAGGTCCAATTCACAGGGAACACCCGTATGTGGACATCCACCAAGCTTGTCCTGAGGGCAGATCAAAGTTTTATAATTCTGGAGACCCTGAACCTCGCCGACGCTGTGTGCTCCATCACACAAGCACCCACAATGTGTGTCATTTACTGGGTATGCTGTAAATCAGCCTGGACAGTGGTCTTTGCCCAAGGAATTTAAATCAGAACCCACAAAGTGATCCAATGATTTTCATAGAAATGTTCATTCCAGCCCAAGTGCGGTAGCTCATGCCTATAATCCTAGCACTTTGGGGCTCGGCGCCTGTGGCTCAAGTGGCTAAGGTGCCAGCCACATACACCTAAGGTGGCAGGTTCAAATCCAGCCCGGGCCCGCCAAACAACAATGATGGTTGCAACCGAAAAAAAAATAGCCGGGCGTTGTGGTGGTCACCTCTGTTCCCAGCTACTTGGGAGGCTGAGGCAGGAGACTCGCTTGAGCCCAGGAGTTTGAGGTTGCCGTGAGCTGTGATGCCACAGTACTCTACCCAGGGGGATAGCTTTAGGCTCTGTCTCAAAAAAAAAAAAAAAGTCCTAGCACTCTGGGAGACCAAAGCAGGTGAATTGCTTGAGCTCACGAGTTCAAGACCAGCCTGAGCAAAAATTGAGAACCCCCTGAGGCAAGAGGATCTCTTGAGCCCAAGAGTTTGAGGTTGCTGTGAGCTATGATGCCATAGCACTCTACTCAGGGTGACAGACAGAATGAGACTCTGTCTCAAAAAAAAGAAAGAAATGTGCTTTCCATTTCCAAAATGTGCATTTCCAAACTGATAAGGTTCATAAAAATTAAAATAAGGTGGGAGAAAAGTATTGACAGGCTCAAACTAGTAACTCCAGTTTTACTTCAAGAAAAACTGCAGCACAGGTTATAGAAAGGCTGGGAAACATCAGAATATAACACAAGACATTTGCCCAATACAAACAATGGTCTGTGCTTACACCCAGGCGCGCACGCACACACACACACACACACTCATGCACATAAGGCATTGTTCGAAACTGGATCCCGAGTTCCCCACAGGCTTATAGCATGAGAGACAGCAAATGCCCCATGCCCTGAGCCTGGCCACAGCAAGCCACCTCCCCCTGCTGGCACTCTGCTGAAGTTCTGTGGGTAGCATGGCTTTGCTGCTCACTTGCAACTGACTTCTAAGAGTTTCAAAGATGGTGAGGAAGCAGGAGGGTCAAAGGGTCAAGCTCACTCCCCTTCATCCAAACAGACTTTTCATTTTTTGTTTGATGAGGATTAGGAAGAAAGGGGTGAGGATTAGTCATAATTTACAGCCTCTGTCAAAAGCCAGTTCTAAGTCGAAGGGAAGGGAGTAAGTGGATTATGAAAAGAAAACATATGGAGAAAAGAGAGGGCAAAGGACAAACTGCATTCAATAATATTTATTAATTTGAGTTTAAAAGGAAAATAAAGGATCCTTTCTAATGGTTCACCTTCCTATGAACCCAGGAGTTCCCCCAAACCCTAAAGAGGTCTTCCTGCCACTGCCATGAGGTAGATCAGAGGTCTGTGGAAAAAGGGACAGAGGCTGTGCCCGCAGAGGGAGCTCAGGGCAAACCCCAAACCTTGACCTTTTCTAACTTTCTGGCCTCAGAGCCTAGAGACACCGAGTGGTTCATCAGGGTCTTGGCAGCAAAAGGAAGGGAGCCAGGGGTGTTTTCTCTGCCCTGAGCACCAAGCACACAAGTGAACAAGGTGACAATTGCCAGCCCAGACACTCTGGGGCAGCTGAGCCCTGCTACCAAGACAGCAGTGAAGGTCGGGTGGGGTTGGAAAATCTCTTTCAGAAAGAGAAAAAGGAGGGTGGTGAACCCCACTTGGCAGGGACTGCCCATGCCGCTCCATCCGCTCATCAGGCTTTGGAGGGCAGGGTTTACAGCGAGGAGGTTCCAGGCTCCTTGTGAACAGAGGCCAGAGTCTTTCCGAACCTGCTGCTGCTTGTCCTTCAGGCCTACGCAGTAACTCCCCAAGAAGCCCTGGAAATGGACAGAACATACCTTGGGGTGAAGGAGCAGAGGGTGGGAACAAGAACACTGGCAGGAAGGGGTAGAAATCGTGAACGCTGGGAAGCCTATTCAATTACACAAGAGCATCAGGGCACCCCCAAAATCCCACCCCTGACTCCAACCCAGACCAGGGGGGAGGGGACCACAAATGCAGCACTCACGGGTTCCTCCTCGCGTCTGTCCTTCACACTGGAAGTGGATTCTCACCTTCACAGCCACCCAACCTTGGAGAGAAAGCGGAACTGAGGCCGAAGAGATAGGACAGCCACTGGTCGTCTCTTTTAAGTGTGAGAGGCAGGTCGAAATCTTGGCGGCCAAAGAACTGAGCCAGGAAACCAAAACTCGGGCCTATTCCTGCCCTGGGCCCACCTTTGGGTGAAGAAAGCGCCCGCCCGCCCGCCCTCCTCTGCTTCAACCCTAGTGGTCGGATCCGGGAAAGGAAAGGGCCTGGGTCCCATTTTGGTTCCCTGCTCACTGTCCCCTCTTCTCTCCAGGCGAGCCATCCTCCACCTTCTCCTAGCAACCCCCAAATTCATGTTGACTCAGGCAGACACCGAATGCTCCCTGACCCCGAGCCGCCGGTCCCTCCGCCCAGGTCACCTACTCATCGAGTGGCGGGCACTGCCTGGCCTGCTCCGGGCTGCTCAGGGCTGCGGGGGCGCCCGAGGGGACGCGGGCCGGGGCGGCGGCGGCAACGGCGCGGGGCACCTCCCGCCGGCGACGGCACAGAAGACGGCGGAAGGCGCTGCGAAAGTCCGGGCTACGACAGTAGATGAGCGGATTGAAGGCGGAGTTGGCATAGCCGAGCCAGTTAAGGGCGAGGAATGCCGGGCTGGGGACTAGAGATGGGCCCCCGAGGACGCGCAGCACGTTGGCTAGGAAGAAGGGCAACCAGCAGAGAGTGAAGGTGCCCATGATGAGCCCGAGAGTGCACAGGGCCCGATGTTCCCGGAGAGGCAGAAGGCGCGCGGGTCGCCGGCCGCAGGAAGGCACCCCTTCGGGCGAAGCGCACGTCCCCTCCGAGGCTGGGGACAGAGAGCGAGGCGCAGCCGGCGGAGACTCCTCTGGCGGAAAGCGGCCCAGCTCCCCGCGCAGCAGGCGCCGCTGGCGCGTAGCCACAACGAACACTCTCGCGTACACGAAGAGCATCACAAAAAGCGGGAGGTAGAAGGAGACGGAGGAGGAGAGCAGCACGTAGGGCATGTTGGAGGCGAAGACGCAGCAGCGCGGATTGGAGTGGCAGCGCTGCGCCTCGGCGTCGGCCCCTACGCGCCACCACTGGCTCATGATGGGCGCAAACGACACAGCGGCGGATACGACCCACACCAGGACCACGGCTGCACGCGCGCGGCGCTTGGTGACCAGTGCGCCGTAACGCAGCGGGTTAGTCACCGCCAGGTAGCGGTCCACAGCCAGGGCGCACAGGGTTTCGATGCTGGCAGTCACACACAGCACGTCCACCGAGGTCCACAACTCGCAGCCAGTGGCGCCCAAAGGCCAGTGGCCAGTCAGCGCCAAGGTGGCCCCTGGTGGCACTACCAGGAGTCCCACCACCAGGTCGGCTGCGGCCAGTGAAGTCACGAACACGTTGGTCATGGTCTGGAGTCTCGGCGTCCGGGCGATGGCCACGATTACCAGCAGGTTGCCTCCCACGGTGGCCAGCACCGCCACCGCCAACAGCGCCCCGGCCAGTGCCACCGCCCACGGCACCCCTGGCAGCCCACTCGTGTTGGCGGTATTGGGCGCCAGGGTGGGGGCGTCTGACCACGAGGCCAGAGAACTGTTCCCGTGAGGCCACGGAGCCATGCCCTTGTCTTGCGTGGGGCGGGAGGGAAAGAGGGCGGGAGTCTTTCAGATCACCCTGGTCAAGGGAGGGGGCGGTGGGGCGTGGGAGCGACTCCCCCAGCCCGGGCCATCTTCCCAGTTGAGCGGGCGGAACGCGCAGCCTCCCCCCTCCCTACCCTCTTGGTGCCACCACTCTGGAGGGAGGAGTGACTGTGCTTAAAGGGGCAGCGGCCAATAGTCTCAATGGAGGGGCCTCAGGAGCGGAACCGAGAGTGGGTCGGGAGGCAAGACGGATGTTCACCTTCTCCTTTAGCCAAAGCTGGAGTCGCAGATGCCCTGACCCCTCTGCCCCTCTGCCCCCCTCCCACACAGCCCCAGGGGTCAGCACAGCACGCCCTCAGCTCCGGTTTCCTGGAGCTCTGCGCCTGCTTTCCTGGAAGGTCCTACAGCGACACTGGGGAAAGGGGAAGAGAGAACACTCCCACCCCACCCTTCCCCAGTCAGGCGGACGGTGCTCGGTAGTCGCTCCTCATCTGCTTGAGTGCCCGCTGCTAAGGTGTTTTAAATAAAGTAGCAGAGAGAGGGCAGCCACTTAACGTCTCTCCTCTCCCAAGAACTCATTCCAGGGAGATGTGACCCCTTTCCCTTCCTCTATTTCACTTACCCTTTTTTCCCCTCCAGTTTTCTGATACATACATAATTTTTTTTTCCAGCTATGGGGAAAATTTGCCGTGTTTCTGAGTCTTTCTCACGGGCTGCCCATTTGCACTTGGATTTTGCATCAGGTAACCTGGGATGCCAAAGAGTTTCAATTCCCCTTCCTCTTCTCCACTTTGCACTGCCCCTTCTCCACCCCTGTCCACCTTGAAGTTCTCCACATAGTTCCTTTCTCTTTAAGTCCTTCTGTCATAAAGACGTTATAAATACATGAGTGAGTGTGAGGTGGAGGCTTCCCCACGGTCACCTCTTCACATCACCATCCCTCCAAGGTAAAGTGTCCCCTCCATTTCCATGCAGATTTTATTCATGAACTTTTAAAAATAGAAGCCAGGGGCAGCACCTGTGGCTCAAAGGAGTAGGGTGCCAGCCCCCTATGCCAGAGGTAGTGGGTTCAAACCCATCCCCCGCTAAAAACTGCAAAAAAAGAAAAAAAAAAACTAGATGGCAGGCGGGGCTCAGTGGCTCATGCCTGTTATCCTCATATTCTGGGAGGTGGAGGAGTGTGGATTGTCTGAGTTCACAATGGGGACCCTGTCTCTAAAAAATAGCTGAGCATTGTGGCAGGTGCCTATGGTTCCAGCTACTGGGGAACCTCAGGCAAGAGAAGTGCTTAAGCCCAAGAGTTGGAGGCAGCTGTGAGCTGTGATGCCACAGCACTCTACCAAGGGTGACAAAGTGAGACTCTGTCTCAAAAATAAATAAATAAAAATAAAGACTAGAAAGCATTGAGTTGGGAAATTCATAGGTTCATCTTGGCATGTGTGTACCGACAGGCCTGGTGTTTTATTTTTGTTTTGTTTTGTTTTGTTTTTTGTTTTTCCAGAGACAGAGTCTCACTCAGTCACCCTGGGGTTGAGTGCTATGGTGTCATAGCTCACAGCAAGCGCAAACTCTTGGGCTCAAGTGATTCTCTTGCCTCAGCCTCCCAAGCAGCTCAGACTACACAGGTGCCCACCACAATGCCTGGCTATTTTTTAGAGATGGGGTCTCGCTCTTGCTCAGGCTAGTCTTGAACTCCTGAGCTCAAGCAATCCACCTGCCTTGGCCTCCCAGAATGCTGGTGGGAGGTGCTGCCCAGAGTGCTTGGCCTGGTGTTTTAATACCTCCAAAATCTCTCCAGATCTATGTTCTGTCAGAGGTCTCCCTCACCTGAAGAAGCTGAAGCCTCTTTCCCTTCTTCTGTTCTTAATTTCTTTTTTTTCTTTTTCTTTTCTTTTCTTTCTTTCTTTTTTTTTTTTTTTTTTTTTTTTTGAGACAGAGCCTCAAGCTGTCCCCCTGGGTAGAGTGCCGCAGCATCACAGCTCACAGCAACCTCCAACTCCTGGGCTCAAGCGAGTCTTCTGCCTCAGCCTCCCAAGTAGCTGGGACCACAGGTGCCCGCCACAATGCCCAGCTATTTTTTGGTTGCTGCTATCATTGTTGTTTGGAGGGCCAGGCTGGATTCGAACCCGCCACCTTAGGTGTATGTGGCTGGCGCCTTAGCCACTTGAGCCACAGGGGCCGAGCCCTGTTCTTAATTTCTAAGGCTTTATTTGTTTGTTTGCAGTTTTTGGCCAGGGCTGGCTTTGAAACCACCACCTCCAGCATATGGAGCCCGGCAGCGCCCTACTCCTTTGAGCCACAGGCGCCACCCACAGTTTCTAAGGCTTTGTTCTGCACCCCTAGCTCTCCCAGCCTCTAAACCAGTTCCTCTTAGATTGGCTGTGAGACTGGGACATAAGCTAATGTCCAAGTTGAGGGGCAGGAAGATATGATACCTTTGTTAGGGCCCCTCAGGACCCGGTCCTTGAGCTGTCTCACTTCCTCCCCTAAAACAAGGGAACCAAAGGGGGGAAAAATGGTCATGGAAAATGCCTCGAGGGCCAGGCCCTAGCAAGTCTCTTTTGAACAGCTCTTTATTTCAAAAGAACGCTGTATAGTCACTGGTCTAAGCAATCCCTCTGGGAGGCTGAGCCAGGGGTTGGGAGTTAGGAAGACTGAAGGAGAAGTAAGAACCTAAAATTATCCCTGAGGAAAAAGAACCAGCTTCGTCTTCCAGGGAACTTTGCCCCATGAGCAAAGTTCGTCAGGGGCTTTTAGGCAAATGCCTTCTGTGCCTATGATGGACCCCAAGCAGGCCTCCAGATCCATGCGAATGCCGGGCGGGTGAAGGTGAAGACGCAGCCTCTGTCCTCTCCCCCTCTTCTGCAACCACAAGTCATGCCAGAGTGGTGTGTGTCCCGCTGGGCCCCCAGTCTTGGCTGTGGCTCCAGCTCATCTAAGCAGTCACTCCCAAGTTGAGTTTTGCAACACCCTAGCATTGCCAGTTCTCTAAAAAGGGGTGTCATAAGATTCTCGAAAATTAATTGCTAAAACAAATTCATACAATTCAGTGGGATTTTTCCAGGACATCAGGGTTGGTCAGGGAAAGGAAAGGGTGCCGGGAAGTGGAGCAACTTTAAAGGATGTCATTGCTTTAGGGGTGACCTTGTGTTTGGAAGGACATGTGTAAAAATGTTTACATTTTCAAAAAAGACAAGACTTCCCAAACCACATAAGCATGTCTAAGTTTAGGGAATGATTAAGCCCATAACCAAGTGACACTGTGAGAAGAGAAACTCCAGACTCCCCTCATGAAGGGTTTATGAGTAGACGGACCCTGGAGGCACCTGGCTGCTTTCCTTCCTCCTTGGGCCCCCTGCTGCTCCTCACATTCTCAGTCTCCTCTTCCCTGCCCAAGCAGCTGACAGGATGGCTGGGCGTCATGTCGGGTCCCTGTAGTCCCAGCTACTTGGGAGGCTAAGGCAAGAGAGTCGCTTAAGCCCAGGAGTTTGAGGTTGCTGTGAGTGGTCTCAAAAAAAAAACCACTGTCATAGCTCCCTACAGCTTCAAACTCCTGGGCTCCTCCCACCTCAGCCTGCTGAGTAGCAGGGACAACAGGCCCATGTCACCATACCTAGCTAAGTTTAAAAACTTTTTCTTGTAGAGGCAGGGTCTTGCTGTATTGCCCAGGCTAGCCTTGAAATCCCAGTCTCAAGGAATCCTCATGCTTTGGGCTCCCAAAATCCTGGGACTATAGGCGTGGCCTACAGTTAATTTTTTGAATTGATAATACATTCACATTATTCAACCATAAAATTATATAAAATGGGCTCAGCGCCTGTGGCTCAAGCGGCTAAGGCGCCAGCCACATACACCTAAGGTGGCGGGTTC